GCTTAGACTTTTACCATAAATTCTTACTATAACATATACTATAACATACTACAACAATTTAGACTCACTTCCTTGTATATACTAGTAATTAGTTATTAATGTAGTTGGATTATTTTATAAATAAATTATTATATAATTATTATTCTTACTATTATTATTATTATTATCATTAACACCATCAGGAAACAACATGAAGACAAGTTTCAACACCACCTCATTTCACAAGGCTCATTTTTCTCCAATATCATTAAACATTCTACACTCTCATTCAACTCTATATGGTCCTCTGTTCAAAGTAAACTTCCGAAGAATATATTTAACTTCACTATCCGGTATATAAATAACACTCTTCCGACTCGCAAAAACCTTCTGAAATGGGGAATATCACCAACATCCGAATGTTCGTTTTGTTTGAATCCAGAATCACTTCTTCACGTCGTCGCTGGATGCAAGACCTACCTAAATGAAGGACGTTTCACGTAGCGTCATGATTCGGTGCTTAACTTCATAGCATCCATACTTAAAACTGTGAACCATTGTAACCTTTATGCTGCCTTCCTGGCTATATCAGTCCATCTGTTATCACCGGAGATGAATTGCGCCCTGATCTTTTGATAACACTTGACCACAAATGTATTTATATACTTGAACTTACCGTCGGATTTGAATCTAATCTCCTCACTAATGCAACTCGAAAAAGACAAAAATATCAAGATCTAATTAACGAACAGCTCAAAAATTATGAAAAAGTGAAATTTGTAAATTTATCGATTAGCTCATTAGGAGTTTTCAGCCACCCGTCGCTAGATTTCACCGAAATGCTGAAGGATCTAAAGTTTGATGAACAACGTAGAAAGTACTATGTTCGGAAAATTATTAATATATGTATCAGGTCCTCGTATTATATATTCTGTAAGCGTAACAAAGAATGGGATAACCCACAACTAATGTCATACTAATATTGTTATTATGTAGAGTGTTAATTCAAGTAGACACTGGTAAACTACCTGTAAAGAGAGGTTTGTCATTGTAGTGTGTATATATATATTATTGAAAGTAATAAAGTTTCCATTATTATTATTATTATTATTATTATTATTATTACAAAAGACGTACTTAAGGCAGTTAGAAAAGAAAACGAACAAAGACTTCAAAACCACCTCATTTCGCAAGGTTCTTTCTTTTCCAGTATCATGAATCATTCCACCTACACATTCAACTCTTTGTGGTCATCCGTTCAGAGCAAACTTCCGAAAAACATTTTTAACTTCACCATCCGATATATCAATAACACACTTCCAACACGAAAGAACCTATCAAAATGGGGACTATCATCAACATCCGATTGCTCTTTCTGCTCCTCATCTGAAACGCTGCTCCATGTGATTGCTGGATGTAAGACATATTTAGACGAAGGCCGGTTTACAGGGCGACACGATTCTGTTTTAAATTTCCTCGCATCCACTCTTACTGCTGTGAAAAATTCCACACTTTACGCGGACATTCCTGGTTTTATGAATGCATCTGTTATCACGGGAGATCGTTTACGACCTGACCTTCTGCTGGTGACTGAAAACAGATGCCTATACATCCTCGAGCTTACAGTCGGTTATGAATCCAATCTGCTAGTTAACGCCAATCGTAAGCGTCAAAAGTACCGTGATCTAATCAATGAGCAGGAAGCAGATTATGATAAAGTCAAGTTCGTCAATTTATCCTTGAGTACCCTCGGAGTTTTTGGCCGATCTTGTGAAAATTTCGATGGCATGCTAAGTAGCCTTAAATGTGATGCCAAGTATAGTAAATACATAAAAAAGCAAATCGTGAACATATGCATACGAACATCATATTATGTATTTTGTAAACGAAACAAGATGTGGGATAACCCAAAATTAATGTTAATATAATCCTTCTTAAAATAATTATTGTACAATAAATATATAGTATCAATTCAAGTAGACATTGATAAACTACCTGTAAAGCGAGGTTTATCATTGTAGTTGTATATATCCTAATAATCAATAAATAAAGTTTCCATTATTACCTGCCGAAGCTTTTGATTAATAAGGATCTCATACCAACGATTAAGACTGGAGAATCATTTGAGTATTTGGGACGACACTTCGACTTTAGCATGACTAATGAAAAACATAAATCTAAACTGATCTCCCTCATTGATGAACTAATGTCCGAAATAGATCTTAAACCTCTTCACCCAAAAAACAAAATTTTACTTTACAGTCGTTATGTTTTGTCGAAACTACCCTGGCATTTTACTGTTGCTACGATATCTAAAACTTGGGTAGTCGAAAATATCGATTCTCCGGTGAACAAGTACGTCCGAAAATGGCTGGAAGTACCTATATCTGGAACATTAAGTAACATCTTTCTAACCCGTAATAAGTTTGGTCTAAATATCATCCCTGCATCCGTCAAGTTCATTCAGTGTCAAACAGTTCTACGCAATGCCCTAAAAACATCTCCAAACGATTCTATTAACGAACTGTGGCAGTCAACTAATAATCATACTAACATTCAATACGATAGCTACAATTCAACTAAAGAAGTTTTAAAAACTTTCCATTCTCAACAAGAAAATAAACTTAGGGACCGTTTGAAATGTCAAGGTTCCTTTTTCGAAAATGTTTCTAAATTCTCCCTATCACAACTTAACGCAATCTGGTCGGTATCGCAATCAAAGCTACCAAAGAACATTTTCAACTTTACAATTCGCTATATGAATAATACCCTTCCTACCCGAAAGACCCTCAGTAGATGGGGAATTTCATCAAGTTCTGACTGCTCGTTCTGCTTACACCCTGAATCACTTCTGCACGTTGTTGCCGGTTGTCAACATTACTTGGAACGATTTACTTGGAGACACGATTGCATACTAAAGTTTCTTGCAAAAACCTTTCAAAGTTTAAACGAATGCAAATTACTTGTTGATCTTCCTGGATTTGAAAGCCCCTCGATTATTACGGGCGATGAATATCGTCCTGATTTATTTGTCTCCACTTCAGACAAACACCTCTACGTTGTTGAACTTACCGTAGGCTTTGAATCAAACCTCACAAACAATGTTAACCGCAAGAAAGCTAAATATAAGAACCTAATTAGAGAACTAGATCAAAACTTTACATCTGTTAAATTTATAAATCTTTCAGTCAGTTCGCTAGGGGTGTTTGACAAAGAATGCCATACATTCGTAAAAATGCTAAATGAGTTAGGACTGGATAATCAACACCAGCAATATTATATCAGAAAAATGATATCTATTGCCATCCGATCAACGTACTACATATTTTGCTGTAGAAATAAAGAATGGACAAATCCCGAACTAATGAACATTTAAAGTAACTATTTCTATAAATAATTAACAATTTTTGTATATAAAACTATAACCACGTATAAGTGATTCAAGTAGTCAATTGTAGGTTACCTCAAGAAGTGAGATTTACAATTGTATATATCTATAAATGTTCTATTAATAAAGTTTTCATTATTATTATTATTATTATTATTATTATTATTACTGATTATTATTATTAGCATTGAGCAGAGCAGCATTGTTTATACGCGCTCTGTACATGTTGTTCGTTTTATCGCTATTTTCTTATACTTGAACCACAGTTTATTAATAAAAAATATTATAACTATTGGATTTACTCCGATTTAAATCATGATTCGTTCAAGCCTTGTCGCTATGTTGGCAATTTGCACAGTTTGCTCGTTCTGTGGCAAAGACTTCGTTACGCTGGGCCGTCATTCATGGCGTTGTAAAGAAAAAATAAATCAAGATCGTCCTGCTAACACAGTCAATCAAAATATGCCGGTTATGCATTCTCCTGTCAGAATCTCAAACACCAACGACGTTAAGTGTTATTGTGGTAAATCATGTAAAGGTACGCGGGGGCTTAAAATGCACAAACGTAGTTGTCGTGTAATACATGGTTTAAATGATGAATTGCTTACAGACCTTGAACAGCAATCTACTGAGAACTCGACTGCGAATACTTCTACTCATTCTACATTTGAGGAAATTGATGTAATGGAAAATATTGCGAGCGATCAGAATTTTCCAGTGTTGAAGAAAGGGGTAAAGCTTCCCAAAAGCGACGCAGAATGGTCAACGGCTGACAGCTATTTCAAATTTGAATTGCGACTAAATGCGCGAATCAGAATTGAAGATCTAAGCTCAAGCGTTAGGCTAATGAATGATATTCTCTACAACTATTTCGCTGATTACTTCGGTTATGTTGAGAAGATGCCGGATAAAGAGCTAGTGAATAAGTATAAAGATCAAACAGTAAAAGCTTTAAAGAAATGTTTAAAACAACTAAAGCTATCGAACGCTGATCCTCACGAAATCAAATATGTAGCTCGCACATTGCGTGATAAGTTGCGTAATGCTTGTCAAATCAATACAACTCAAAACCAAAACAAAACGTTCAATCACGACAATTACATTAGTAGAAATTTCTGGGGTTACGTTAAGAACGTCCTGAATAAGAATACTTGCCTACTTCCATGCCTTCCAATGTCAGAATGCCTAAACTATTTCAAGAAAACTCTATGTTCAATGAACCCAAACAAACTGTTTTGTATTCCAAGCTGGATTCGGAAGTTATCCGATCCTATCGTAAACTTTGACCTTCAACCCCCAACATATCGCCAAGTTACAAATATTATTCGCAGAATGAAAGCTTCTGGATCTGGTCCTCTAGATCAACTTTCAATCATTTGCTTCAAACGTTGTCCTTTCTTGCGCACTTATCTAACCGAAGTGATTCGTAGCGTCTGGTCTTCGAAATCTGTACCAGCTGAATGGAAAAAAGCGTGTTCTATTCTTATCCACAAAAAAGGCAATACACGTGACCCCTCCAATTTCCGCCCAATTACTCTAGAAACTATACCACTAAAAGTGTTTACATCTTGTCTCCGCAATGCTATGTTCTCGTTCCTAACTGCTAATAACTTTATTGAACATCAGATTCAAAAATAAAATGATTCACTCCCAATCTGTCTGGCACTCTGGAACACACTGCTCAAATGACAAATATTTTCAACCAAGCGAGAATTAAGCAGCGCTCTGTTGTCATCACCCTTCTCGATCTCAAGAATGCTTTTGGTGAAGTGCATCATAATCTAATTCAATCTGTCCTCGACTATCATCACATTCCCAAAGACGTTAGTGAAATAATAAAGAGCTTGTATACGGACTTCAATACTGCATTTATAACATCAGAATTCTCCACCCCATTTATAACTATCGGTCGTGGAGTTCTTCAGGGAGACTGCATCAATACCTTTATTCAACATATAAAATCTGACAAATACCGGCAATTTGGTTTCATTACAAATCTTTTAAACCCAGTCCATTGGTTCCAGTTCGCTGATGATCCTGAGGTAATAAGCGCTCAAGATTCAGAAAATCAACATCTTTTAAATCGATTCTCGATCTGGTCCCGGTGGTCTAACATGATTGTCAAAGTTGATAAGTGTTCAACATTTGGGATCAAGAAAAGTCTGACAAAATCTGTCCAATATTTACCTAAACTTCTGATTAATAATGAATTGATACCTGCCACTAAAATTGGAGAGTCGTTTCGATACTTGGGGAAATATTTTGACTTCAGTATGTCGGAAAAAGAACACAAACAAGACCTAATCACTCTCATGGACGACATTATGTCTGAAATTGATCTCAAACCTTTGCACCCAAAAAATAAACTTTTGCTTTATAGTCGTTACCTCCTATCCAAACTTTCCTGGCATTTCACTGTAACCACCTTATCAAAAACCTGGGTCTCTGAAAATGTGGATTCTGTGGTGAATAAGTACGTACGTAAATGGCTTGAAATATCTACAATCAGTGACAAAAGGTTTTTGGACAGTGATATAATATAGATATATTTGCGCCTTTCCAAATACTGTTCAGCATAAAACGACTATCTCTCCCTCCCCCACCCTAAACAATGTTGGGTGACTGGCAAGAAGCATTTTGCGCCGGTATTTCCACACACAACATTGAACAGGGGGTGCGGGAGGTCGATTGTGTTGTAAATGTACGCTCTATTGCTATTTTGTCCAAAGGGTTTTGTCACTGATTGTATATCAGGAACTCTATCTAACGTCTACCTTACCAGTAACAAGTTTGGTCTAAATATCTACCCGCCGTCAATTAAGTTTGTTCAGTGCCAAACAGTTGCTCGTAACGCCTTAAAGACCTCTCCAAATCATTCCATAAAAGACCTCTAGAAAACAACATCTGAAAGCAAAAACATTCAGTACGACGTCTACACCTCGACAAAGGAAGTCCTTAAAACTTTTACCTCAGGACAAGAAGACAAGCTGCAGAATCATCTGATTTTGCAAGGCTCCTTCTTCTCAAATGTCATTAAGTTTTCACTGTCGAAATTAAACGGCATATGGTCTAAATCCCAATCAAACCTCCCAAAGAACATATATAACTTCAGCATTCGTTACATTAATAACTCACTTCCAACTCGTAAAAACCTTACTAAAAGGGGAATATTGTCCAACTCTGATTGCTCCTTCTGCTTAAACCCTGAAACCCTTTTACACGTAGTTGCTGGATGTCAAACGTACCTCCCACGATTTACATGGAGACATGATTGTGTTTAAACTACATAGCACAAACGCTACAACCTGTAAACAACTCCAATCTTTTCGTCGATCTTCCTGGTTATAAAAGCCCATCAATTGTAACTGGTGACACATTCCGCCCAGACCTACTTCTATCTATCAACTCGGATTGTCTCTATATCCTTGAACTTTCTGTTGGCTATGAGTCTAATCTACAAACAAATGTTGATCGGAAAAGAAGAAGATACGAAGATCTCATTACACAGCAAAAGAAACAATTTAAGTCCGTAAAATTTGTAAAATTGTCAATTATTTCTTTAGGCGTTTTCTCAAAAGAATGTCATTCCTTTTTAGATATGTTAACTGATCTAGGTCTTGATAAAATACACCAATATTTCGCTGTCAGGAAAATTATGTCTATCGCGATTAGGACAACATATTATATATTTTGTTGCAGAGATAAAGACTGGTTAAATCCGGAATTACTGAACATTTAAGATACTCATTATTAATATATAAATATTAAGTAGGTTCAAGTAGTCAATTATAAATTACCTAAGTTAGTGAGATTTATAATTGTATATATACGTATATAATTTCAATAAAGTTTCCATTATTATTATTATTATTATTATTATTATTATTATTATTATTATTATTATATCTAATTACGGAGCAGAAAAACCATTTCGAAACAGTCAAATTTATTAATTTGTCTATTAGTGCCTTGGGCGTTTTCTCAAAAGAATGTAGCACGTTTATGAAAATGTTGAACGAAGTTGGTCTTGATAAAAAACATCAGAACTTTTGTGTTAAGAAAATAATGTCCATCGCCATCAGAACAACGTACTATATATTTTGTTGTAGAAACAAGGATTGGACCGATCTGGACTTGATGAACATTTAAGAATGAGCTTTCTCTTAGTTTTATACCTGTAATATAGTTTATCAATAATTAATAGTTCAAGTAGTCAATTATAAATTACCTTAATTAGTGAGATTTATAATTGTATATACATAAAATGTCAAAATAAAGTTTCCATTATTATTATTATTATTATTACGATACAGACATCTAAGATCTGAGCTGATCACGACGTGTCATGCGTTTGAAGTTATTACACTTGAAGTAACCACCCTATAGGTTTTGTGTCGAAAGATATTGACAGATTTCGTAGATTATTACGAACAGTTGAAATGAACGATGAACATATTATTAAAAAATGTATGGAGGTAGCTCTGAGAGCAACATTCTACATTTACTGCAAAAGAAGCAAGCCCTGGAATAACCCAGACTTATTGAATTTTTACTAGCTGCATGCTATTCTATTCTAGCTGCATGCTATCGATATGCAAGTGTAGAGAATAGAGAATGGATCTATCTGTTTAATATAGTGAACTGTTTCTCTTATTTCCTTGATTCAATGAAAGTCTAATGTGATATTTGTAAAAATTTATCATGTTATTAATAAAGATTATTAAACTGTTGTTTAACAAAAAAATATTACTATTGTCAAATCTTTATTTAGTCGCAAAACGACCAAACCTTTTAATCGTCTTAGGTTAGATGTTTAATTCGTCAAGTATAAATAGGGTTTTCTAGTGGCCTTTATTTTTTAAAAGCTGAAAGTCTTTTTCGTGGAGGTAAATTTCGAGTGCAAAACTACTCATAAAAACTCATAAAAATCCTTCAACCCTTAAAAAATAAGACAAAAAGTTCGGTCAACTAAAATTTTATATCTGCACAACAACACACATGCAGTAGCCAAGGGAAAGGGCAAAATGGACTCGGCCCCTCCCCACCTCCCCCAATGAACTCCAGAACTGTTCTCCGCAGAAGCATACCCCCGGACCCGCTATAAGGTTCTGGCGCTCCTTTTTAGGCTTGCTTTCCCTCGAAAGTCAAGAACCTGGCTACGCTACTACCATTCAATGGAGACAAGTGCATGCATGCATGCATGCATGCATGCCAGCCTAATGAACTGGTTATTCAGTCTGTTTTAAACAAACTTATTTAGTTTGTTTTAAACACAATTACACATGCACATAATAACAACCACTTCAGTTTTGTGTGTTTGTATCAATTCAATATTTCTACTTACCATTGCATTGCATCTTATCACACGTTTCATTCACCTGACATGTATAGTTTTGGGTACTGTTGCTGCAGTCATCTATAATGCAACACATATTTTGTTTTTAAAAATATTTTTGATATAATTTTATCAATTATTTTACTATATTTATTAATCATTAATATTAACTTAAATATTAAGAAATATATCCAAATTCCTATTATTTCAGCTGTTATGCAGTGTATGTATGACAGCTAGGTTTCACTCAGTATAGTTCAACGAAGAAAGACGGGGCCCTTAGGCACATTGGGCGTGGGACCCTCACCTATAAGCTGCAGCTTATAAAAAGATCATTCTGCCCTTGTTACTATAATAGGAATGGTTGGGAATTGATAAAAGGAGAATAGTGCGATTAGTCGCCGAATATTTCGAATAAAAAGATGTTTGTGATGAAATATAAGTTCTGTGCCTTATTTAAGTCTGTTGTCCTTTATTACAATTTATAACTAAAATAAAGATCTTGAAGACCTTACCGATTTTTCTCTTTTACTCCATGGCCTCGTTTTCATGTCAAATACTTACTCATGTTTCGTGCTTAGTACGGTTGAAAATTACTTTGTTATTGAGCCTAAGAACAGCAAGAAACAAATTCGTCCAGGAAAACATGGGAATATGAATATCTAAAACTGTCTGCACCAGTATAGGTAGTACCAATGTGAAAATGCTGTGCTGAGTGGTTATATTACTACCTTAAAAAACAAGCAGAAACTCGACGTTTCGAGCGAAGGCCCTTCTTCAAGAGTTAAAATAAGTTAACATGGAAACGAGGCCATTGGGTAAAAGAGAATAATCGGTAAGGTCTATTACACTATACGTACAAAAACAACGGCGTTTCTTTCCTTCTTCGCTTAAGAATGTTTCACAGTCACAATCGTATGTGGTTTCATTTGCAGGATCTGAAAATGATACATTTTGTAAATACCACATACTTATCATATAATATAATATAATGTAATGTAATGTAATATAATCATATCATATCATATCATATCATATATCATATCATATAGCATAGCATAGCATAGCATATCACATCATATTATAGCTTCAAAAACTCATTAATAATTCATGAAGCAATTATCCAATCTTGAGTAAGAAATTAGTCACGTGCATACGTCTTTATACCAGCTAACGAATACTTTAACAAAAGACCATTGTTATGCAAACTATATAAAGATTTTTATATAAAGATTTTTATATAAAGATTTTTATATAAAGATTTGACTTATTATGCAAATGTTTTTGAAGTCATTTAAAAAACTCGCAGGTCGTGTTTTATTAGGTCTAAAGCCACTCGCGCTGCGCGCTCGTGGCTTTAAACCTAATAAAACACTCCTACGCGTGCTTTAAATAGTACATATCACATCATACCACACCATACATTATTATAAGGCTGGTTTACACTATCAGATTTTCTGTGATCACAGTAGGAATTTTGCACAGATCTCTCAAACATTTCTTACAAATTCTTCAACACTTCTTCAAAAATCCTTCAAACAGAATTTACCCAAGTATGCAAAATACCTATACTGTGATCACAGAAACTTTGATAGATACCAGCCTTCACAATACATACGTTACCAAACACACCACATCATACAAACAATACTATACCATAGTGTTAGTTTGGAACAGGACAGTGTCGTAGATTATCATTACTAATGCTTTTCGCAAGTCTTTTGCAACTCATTCCCCAGGGGCCAACTCAACCAAAGCCATGGCGGCCATCTTGGTGTTCCGGACAAAAGAGTCTAATTAAAATTCTTTTGAATTGAAACAGTGACGTCATGTGCAAACGCTCTATACCACAGTCATTTTAATATTAAAAGGGTGTGACCTACTGTCAAGCAAACATGCAAGGCTGATATAAAGGCATTTCGTAATGATAATCTACGACACTATCCTGTTTCAAACTAACACATACCACACCATGCCAACAAAACATAACAAACCATATCCTACGTACCATAAAATACCACTAATATTACGCCACATCATACAAGCACATAACACACTGTACAATAACATATCAGGCCACATTTGGCTAAACCATACCACACCATATTATATCAAACGAAATCAGATTACACAACCGA